GACCGGTGGTGATAGGGAGTTTTTACCGGTGGGGCCGCGAAACGCGCAGGCGACGAGGTCAAGCTGTTATATGCAAACGAAAAGCTATTGGGGATGCGCAACTGTACTTTGGGTGATTGATAAATTGTTGTCCTAACCGCTACTCCTGACATCTAACCCCAACGCCTAACCCTATCATTAACCATAACTCCTGACTCTAACCCCTGACCCCAACTCATAACCATAAACCTTAATCCTAACCCCGACCCCTAACCTTAACCCCTAACCCGAAGTCCCAACCCCTAACTCTAACCCTTAACCGCAGCCTTCAACCCCAACCCTGAGACATCCAACGCGAATGTTAGTAGGAGACGACAGGCTGAAAGTAAAGAAGGACAACAGGCATTGGGCCGAAAAGGTAGACACGGCAACAAAGAAGCAAGGCCACCAACAGAAAACGCATACCGCAGCAACACCATGTAAACGTAATCACACCAACTCAACAGTATTTTATCGATCAGATGCGGCTATATAACCACAGCTTATCGATAAAACACTTGTAAATCTTGATGTCTGCGTAGACACTGCATGTGTAATGGCTATGTGAATGCCTGTACAGACTGACAGCTTCATATTCACGGGAAAATGAAGTCAATCATAGTGGCGTCTGAGGTAACAGCTGGTGGGATAGCCCACTGGCGCCTCTCGAGAGCGCAGAACAAAGTAAATATGGCAAAATGTATCCTACCCACTGCCTAAAAGCAGGAAGGAGCGAGCGAAAGCTGTAACCAGGCACACAAGAATACATACTGTTTGAGCAACAGGAAACCATGTGATTCTGTGTTCTTGCAATATCTTAAAAATACGCATGAACTCCACTTCTCAATAGCAGACATAAATGACCGAGTCGGAAACGAGGTCAGTCGTAGGTTTTATTACAAATTAGGTCTTCTACCTGAAGGCAGACAACAGACCCACTAACCGTACGCCCAAAAAAGTTGCTAGATGATTGAATAACCTCATCTTATTACCTCAAAGTATTTTGGACTCCGCGTATTAGATAATGAGATTCAATACGAGTTTGGGAAAGGAGGCCCAGGTGACGGATGCATTTCTGCCTATCTTACTTATAATCGGCATCCAAAATACCCTTTTCAGTACACACTTACCTGACAATTTCCTGCTGCTTCAAGCTGTCGAGCAGTATCTTAATTTACGTGTTATAACATTCGACGCGAATGCAAGAATCTGGTATCTTGGTTATCCCTCTCTCATGCGATCTCTAAATGGGTTGACTCTTCCTCTTTCATTGGTGTTTTCAATTTCTGACATTTCATCATCCCCGAAGCCAGAAATGGCCACCGCTCTCTCCCTTGGCTTTGTCGATAATACCATTCAGAAGAAATGGTGGCGAGCGAAAGCTGCTTTCGATAACTTCTCGTCAGGCCAGTACAGTTATATGGGACGGGGTACACTGAGTGAAAAAAAATTGATTAACGTTACTTTTCAAAGTACAGACTAGGCATGAACGGAAGGGTGCAGAAATTTGTACGCTGGTTAATTAACCTTTGACCACGGTAAGCGCAGAGCCGGAACGACGCTTTTCTGGGCGCACAGGGTCGGTTTTCGTAACCTGCTGGCGGCCGCTTGTGCTGTTGCTAACAGGCGCTAGCCAAGTAGCTTCGATTAGCTCAAGAAGACCTTATAAAACACACAAAATGCTTCAGCGGGGTTCGCACGATGCCCTGAATCCACTGTATGCGCAAAGATGGCACTGTCTATTCTCCTAGTGCCATCTTTTGCCAGCCATGCGGGAAGGTGCTGGAAAAATTTGTTCAATAGATAGTATCGAGGAGGAACTTAGAAAAATCCAGGACTTGCTTCTTGAAAACGGGTATCCTGACAGGCTCATTGCATAGAACCCTGCCGAACGACCCGCAAAACCCAACAAACTAACCGACAAAAAGAAAACGTTATTTCTCAAAGTACCTTTCCAAGGAGACGCTGCAAGTGAACTCCTAGGAAGACGCCTTGACCAAGCTGTCTCGGAACCTTCCCAGCCGCAAGGGTTCGCATATCATTCTCTACTAAGTCTATTTTACGCGGGAAAGGCAAGGATAGGCTGCCAGCTCAGACCGACTCGATGTGCATCTATTCATTCACTTGCTTCGGTGGAGCAGGTTAAATTGATCGTACTAGTCGGTGCCTTTCCAAAAGAATACGAGAGCACCTTCCCGCATGGCTGGCAAAAGATGGCACTAGGAGAATAGACAGTGCCATCTTTGCGCATACAGTGGATTCAGGGCATCGTGCGAACCCCGCTGAAGCATTTTGTGTGTTTTTTAAGGTCCCCTCGAGCTAATCTAAGCTACTTGGCCAGCGCCTGTTAGCAATAGCACAAACGACCGCCAGCAGGTTACGAAAACCGACCCTGTGCGCCCAGAAAAGCGTCGTTCCGGCTCTGCGCTTACCGTGGTCAAAGGTTAATTAACCAGCGTACAAATTTCTGCACCCTTCCGTTCATGCCTAGTCTGTACTTTGAAAAGTAACGTTAATCAATTTTTTTCACTCAGTGTACCCCGTCCCATATAACTGTACTGGCCTGACGAGAAGTTATCGAAAGCAACTTTCGCTCGCCACCATTTCTTTTGAATATAGCTATGGAGATCTTCAAAACTCTAATACCATTCCGCCTATTTCACCAGCGTGTAAATCGTGTTACGAAGTTCTGCATCGTATACCTGCAATAATTTGTATTCTGAGTTGCTAATCGTTGCCCATAACCGGTGGCAGACCCTTTCCTTAATTTTAAGGTGCTTTTTCCCAACATAGCTGAACAGAAGTCCCAGGGCACAACAGGATGAGTGAGTTCCGTAATGCGATCGCTCAGCGCCCCTCTACCATTGCATATTCCCGATCGCAACTAACCTGTGACTCAGTGGTTAGGGGTGTTGATGTCTAACCAACAGGTCGCAGGATAGAGCCCCAGGTTTTCCACATTTTGGGGTCGGATATGACTGGCTGTCGATGACGAATAAATTGGGAATGGTCATTCCAGTCACCCTTGTCTTTTTAGGTTATGCTATTCTGCCTATAGTAAGCGCCGCTGTGCGGCTGCTGGCAGAGCCCGGGAGGGAGGGCTCCAAAACATAACGGGACGCGTGAGTTCCGTAACGCGATCGGTGAGCGCCCCTCTGCCATAGTTTTTTCGTCTCCACTCAAAGCACCTGGTTTATAGCTATCCTTCTCCTTGTGGTTGTGGTAGCTCATATTTACCTATTGATCTTTTCACTTAGTTCTACTTGTCATGCTACTGTGCAGCAAATATTTGGCGGCTTCCCTTTTACGGCATGAATGTTCATTATGGAATCTACTCTGAGGATCAGATAGCATTTCGGTTGGAATGCGTGATATTTTTGTGGGGTAAAGTGGAATCGTTGTGTTTAAGAAGGCAGCTGACGCAAGTAGATTATTCAATTTTCAAATTATGTCAAAACAAAAAGCAAGGTCATTTACAGGACTAGTGGGAAGGGAGAAATCTTTATACGGAGTCGATTGGCGGGTGCAGTCGTACAGATGGAGGGGAAGAATATGCAGAGGTAGTTATGAAAGGAACGCGTTGTTTCACATAAAAATAGGGAATGGCTTTAATGAAGGGAGCTAAAACTTACAAAACACGCAAGCGCTAACAGGCTTGGTTCAACGGAATATCAAATATACAGGTAGGCGGTATCGCAAGGAGGCAGCGGACATGTCTTCGATTTCAAAGAACTCATGTCTACATGGCGTGCTGCGGATCTAAAAATAAAGACAAATAAAACCCCTGTTAATATTTTCTCTTGACATCAATGACTTTTGTGCAAATCTGTCGTCATTTCCAAGTCAAAAACAGACAGGACAACTCTGTCGTTCTCGGAACTGATAGTCAGCTTGCAGTGACATCTCATTTCAGCATCTACGGCATTCTCAACTGCGCGAGATATGAGGCGCCCTTGTGGTGACTAGGTACGTCTGGGGCGGGAACCAGATAATTGTAGCGGCACGCGTAGACGGCTCGTTTAATTCTGAAGTTAACGATAGTATCTTTCCATCATCATCATCGTCATCATCATCATCAAGGGGTTTCGGAACTTAATGGATAACCTATATACATGACATGTATATATAGGCAAAATGTTATTATCGACAAAGACAAGGATGACTGGAATAGTCATTTCTGACTTATTAGCAGTCTTTAGCCAGTTACACCCAACCCCGAGGTGTGCAACACCTTGGGATCAAACTTGCTACCGGTTAGTTTGAAGTCCAACGCCTTTAAACACTGGGCCACGGGTTGCGAGTTCGAGCCCCAGGTGTTTCACACTTCGGGGTCGGTTAGGACTGGCTGACGATGGCTAATAAGCCAGAAATCGCCATTCTAGTCTCCTTTGCCTTTGTCGGTAATAGCATTCTGCCTATATTGAGCGCTGTTGTGCGACTGCTGGTTGGGCTCGAGAGAGAGCCCGTTAGGCCCAACGGGACCAGTGAGTTCCGTAAGAACGATTGGTGAGCACCCCTCTGCCATCGTTGACGGTCATGCCTTTTCATCAGATCAGTGTTTACAGGGGAGGGAGAAAGATAATGTGTAAGTGTTGCTCGAGTCTGTCTCATTACAGACTAATTCAGGCGCAAGTCACCGTGACTGGACCCTCGCCGAGGGTTACATGGCCGTCGGCGTCGGTTGCAGAGGACAAACTGTGAATTCTCATTGCAAGTTCGGTTTTCCGTCAGAGATACTGTTACCCCACTCGAAAATGTTGTGCCAACCCTGGATTGAGTGAAATCACTAATTTCAGAAAAAATCATAAGATTATTCTCCTAAGACTGTGTTATATCAAATACCAGAATGGAAAGAACGAAGGGCATGGACAACAGGGCTAAGTGTCCGACAACCGTATAGTGCAACCGTTGTGAATCAGCAACGGCGCTTACCCAATATGACCGTATTAGTACTATTATAATCCAAATTAATTTGCACGAAACACACTTTTGAAGACAGTTCGACCTTCGTACTCGACAATGCTCACCGTGTACACCACAGCAAGGTTTGACAGGCAGGTTGTCTTGCTCATGAACTAGTTTATAATGAGAGCAGACTTGCGCAGCAACTACCGCACTCTCTCCTCCCCAGCTGGGTCCGGTGTCGAGACACAGTCAAGAAGACCGGACGTGTGAGAGAGAGAGCGCTCGCAGTTGGCTGACAAGGCCGGATCCGCACCTAGGCGTACCGCCACACCCACCAGGCTCAACATGAATATTTGGCCATGATTTAAATCAACAACAGCACCACAGCGGGTCAGAAAGTCGGGAGTGACTGGACACCCATGCTTCCAGCAGGAGCTAAAGCGCATCTACTGGTATGGAACCAGGTGCAAGAGAACTCCCAGCGCGCATCAGACTGCGAGGGACATTGTTTGTTGATAATGGCATAGCAGGTTCCTCCATACCTTGGATACTCCTAACAGTGACATGGGTGCGGACATGTGGTATACCACTGACGTCGACGGCATGTTTAGGGCGACTGTGAAAAAATCGATTTTAATGATCCAGATAAGAGCTTGCTTATTCATGCCAAATAGGGACGCAAGAAGCAAGACCCGGACGGTTCATAAAATTAATTGTTTTCTACACACTGTCGCAAGATATAGGTCGATCAGTATTGTCTGAGCTATAGAATTCGGCGACTTCGTCGGCGTGGACACCGCTATTGCGAATTATCGTTAACCATTCGTTTCAATCTAGACTTTTCTGTTTTCGGTCAACAAAAAACGATACAAAACACGACTGGGCATAATGCAAATTCAAATATTGTTTTAAATCGAATTAGTTACCATAAAAGCAACAGAAAGCGAGCTGAATTCACTCACAACAACTCAGTACTAGTTGGCTTGCTCCAGGGTCTTCCTTTGTAAACTGTCGATCCTGGCTGTCGGATCTAGCCGAAGGAGTTGATGCGATTCCGACTGCGGAATAGATAAGGCTATCTTTGCGATAGACCAAACGGGTGTGTCGGATGACTCTTTCCACGCTCCATTGTCCTCGCAAGTCCTCTCATCTTCTCCCTCCGGGAGGCAATTTTTCTTCGTTGTTTCGTGTTCCGGGGGGATACCGCATAGCTGGGTGGAATCCGAAGCGTCAGAAAGAGGACCCGAGGGGCTAAACTCTGAACACAACCTCTGTGTCAAGCCGGGTATGCTGCCACTGGCTGCCTGCTGGTAAAACTGCGTAAAGAACTTGAACCAATTGATCACACGTAATTGGTCTCGCGCCCAGTCAACCAGGTGTGCCATTTCGACGGCCGGCGTCGAGGGCGTACTGTTCGTTTCTGAGCAGTAGGGAGAATTGGCGTGCAAGGAAGTTGTGGGCGTCGAGGTCGTTTTAAGGTGCTCCCTCTCAGGGGCATCGGTTGATGCTGCACTGGGTTTTGAGTCACTGTGTTGCCATAAGGGGCAACCATCACCCTGTCGGTGTCGGGTGCTGCGAAGCAGCGGATTCTGTTTCTTTAGACGACGTCTCGCATTGGCGAACCAGGTGGAAATCTGTTGTTGACTCAGACCTGTAATGACCGCTAGCATGTCACGCTCTTCCTTCGTGGGGTACGGGTTCAGGCGATGGGTGTCGAGCCAGTTCCTGAGAACCGCGGTGTTTTCACGATTGGCTCCCTTTTTCAGACGCTTAAGGCTGTTTTCGCTGAAACGGAAAAGAAGCAATTACATCAGCTATAATCTTAAGTTTTGTAATGCTTATTTGTAAATTAGGTAATTGCTTAACAAAAATATACGTCTCAAAAGGACAATTTCATAAGTTCGTTTGTGACGGCTGAGGGACAAATAAAACCGCCAAAGGGTCTAGCTATAAATATCCGAGGGGATAAACGTTAAAAATCTCCTACCAGCAAATACTGAAGTGCATTGTGCTGAAATATACTTAATCTGTTGTTTGATTACGTAGAAAAACATACTTATCCCAGATTTTATAACCAACATTGGTCGACAGGTAATGGACATGTCCGTCCTGTTAAAAATTCACTTTCAAATTCTTATCGGAAACTTGTCGATGGATTTCAACTGCCGATATAGCGCTCACTCGAATGTAAACAAGTAACTGTTTTAATTTTTAAATTTACACTCAATTTTCGGGAGGTATGCCTTATTCTCTCTCTTTTCATGCCTATGGCCAAAAAGGGTAAAACAAACCGTAAAATGAACTTGCCCATTCTGTTGTACTGAACCAGCCTCGACGAGGTCGTTTTCGTCGTAAAGTCTTTTCAAGTCGGTTTCCCCCTACAAAAAGAATGCGCAGTATAAGTCAAAGCAGATCGAATAGGCATAATTGAAAAGTGAAGTTCACTGAACCTCATTCGTTTTGTCAGACGACACACAAATATTCCTTTCTGACCAGAAGTTTTGGCTGAGGATTGAAGTACAGCCACCGTCGAGTGGATGTACCTCAAAGTAATGGACACTTAAAAAAACATTTTCAACTTAACTGTCTCCAAAGGTTTCGATGAGAACCTCTGAGAAAACCAGAGCACTATTACTAATTGTCCTAATTTGCCAAGCTACGAAAGGTTAATTCTGGGTGACGTTTACTACGACTCCTCGCAACTGTTGGACGACACAACAGAATCCCAATCGACAAAACGTTCGGGTGATACATGCGAGAACACAGGCCAAAAGAAAAAGTTTAGAAGTCGACGAGATCGCCCGAACTGAAGTTTTATTTGCTTGACGTTTTAGTTTCATGCTCGAGCCCGGTATCAAAGACAGCATCAGATGCAGGATTGCAGGCAGACCGGAGGCAACCACCAGGCACTGGTTAACGAGACAAAGTGATCCACTGTCATGCGGGAAATGTCTCGGGTGGTGTATCTGATCCCGTGCATTTGGGGGCAGAAACAGTGAATCGGAAAAACTGGAAAATTATTTCGGACGCAAATAATCGGACATGCGGCCGCAGTGCGAAGAAATGATGCCAGCTCCCAAGTCACGAAATCAAGTTTCTCGAGGCGGAAATTCTCCCGAGAGGGGATCATCTGGTGGGTCGCAAGCCTCCTGAGTCCTGTTCAATAGCTGGCATACCATTGTGTAATTACTTACCCTACTTACAACATAGGTACTAGGATGGTAAATAATTACAAAATCACATACTACTGGCTGCCTGTTGACGATTTGCGAATATTAAGCGGTTATTCCGCAGTAGCTGACGGATTTCAGCTCAGATATTCATATTTACTTTTGGACCGTGCCTGAAAAGGTCTGCTCCGAAAAATTTACTTTAAATTAAACTGCCTCGGAAATTAAATTTGGCAGGTTGGCATGCTGTTAGCAGGTGCACGGACACCCAAATCCCATTTTCGGTTCTGAGACTTAGCCTGGACAAAACAATTAGTCACGGGGAAATGCGCAGGCGAAGGCTTATTCCGAAGCCGGTGTCGGTGAGCCAACAAGTAGAACGGGTGGTAAAATTGCGGCGATTAACTACCCAAATGACGTTATTGGGTAAGATGTGGTTATGTAGCCCCGTCTGAAGGACATAATATTGTTGGGATTGGGGTTAGGGGTCAGGTTGAGGAGGTTAGGGTTTAGGGCAACCATTTCTCGACCACTCAGAGTACAACTGCACATTTCCAATAGCTTCTCTTTTACATAAAATTATTTGATCTCGTTGCCTGTGCGTTCCCCGGCCCCACTTGTACCGTATTATCGTACCCGTACCGTGTCATCGGTAGCTGGGGTTTGCTTACTTCAGCTGGAGCTACATAACCACCTCTGAACAATTATTGCACCAAAGGGCAGCCATCTTTGATGAATAAAAGAGCATTACTTTTGACATATATGCGGTAACATAGTGACTGCCCCCTATAAATACAACAGTCTCTTGTCCATTAATCGCCAGTATTTGCTGTTGTTTGTGTTCATATTCATGATAAACCCGGTCTTGGTGCAGATTTCATGGATTCCCTGCAAGTTGGTCAAGTATAACTGTTTGTAGAAGGCCGCAGGCATAGTTACATGATCGGGTCCCTTATTCAGCTGTCTCGGTGAATATTTTACGAGTTAAACACATTTAGGCATTAAAAGGATTCACGAGCTTCTTGCCCTATTGTCGATTTTATCTTCATTATTTCCCCAAAGAGATCAGTAGTTGATAGGGGGTAAGCATGCTGGGGAGAAAGACAAAGGAGACCGCAGTAGACAGTTCTGGCCCTCTTTAGCCCAGGACCGGATGATGCTCAAATATGCCTGCCTGTTTGGAATGTTTTAATGGAAGCGTTTCATCCATCTTTCCCAGCCGGATGACGCTTCGACTGTCATAGGCGACGACAACTGCCGCGTGTAACAGGAGATGAAGTCTGCAGCAGTCATTTACAGGGAAGTTAGTTTATAGAGTGGCCAGCTTGCTTGCTGCTTTTACTAAGTTCCGTCTGATAGTAGGAGTAGAGGCGAGACAATCTGGTTGGAGGACAAGAACACTTTGGTGAGGACGCGGTTGACTTATCCACTCCCGGGGATCGAGCGTTTAGCGCACACCTACATGGTGTCTAATATTCCTGTCCCCCCCGGGCAGGACGGGAGCCCATAACTCAGTGGGTATGGTGGTTCTTCCAATGCCCAGTGTCCACCAATGACCTGAGACTCCTGCCCATTTGTTTTCACCACCGAGTTGACTTAGGGTTGGCAGTCGATGGACAACGGGCTGAAAAATTTCTCCTCGTTTTTCATTGTGTTGCATGGTAATATTACTTTATCGGTGGATGGTGGGCGACGCGTAAGAAAACACGAGAGCTCCAGGTCAAATAACTTTAGTTTCCAAAAAACGTGCAATACTTAAAGCTAAATTCTGTGAGGAGTTGCATTTACCAGATCTGTCTGTTTCCTGGACAGCAAAGTTTTTGGTCGGATCTTGTTTCGTCGTTGCACCTGCAGTAGACAAGGCTCAGCCTAACCTCTAACCCGTAAACTTAACCCCTAACCCTAACCCCAACCCCTAAACTTAACCTTGACCCTTAACTCTAACCCCTTACACGTACGGCTACGAAATAAGATCTTTGCAAGTTTGTCTTTTGAGCTTTACAACAATTTGATCTCAGTAATCCTGTCAGTAACTCCCTAGCATGTATTTAGAGTTATTAACAAAGCACATTTGTCTACGCCGACGCATTCATTCAGACGCAAACGTACTTAACAGGCAGGATGCTGAGGGCGTTTTGATGCCTAAACAGGCGTTACAAATGCTCGAAATCCATGCAGTTTCTGTAATCACCTGTTTGTTGTTTGACGGAGGTAGTTCACACGGTCCCTTCAACCGTAAGTCCAGGCTGCAAAACCGTCCACCATCTGGTATCACCTCTTCTGAAGAGTCCTCGATTCCAGGTGCATGGTGCGGGACTGGGAGCTTTTTCCCATGAAAATATTTAAAGTATTCCTGGAGCAAATCGTCTGTTGTCAATAGAACGCAGAGAAGAAGAAAGCATTATGCATACACTCTTTTTCGCATTTATAAAAGTATATAAAGAGGGCCGAAAGGTTAACTTTTCCGTACCATTTAAATTCTGTCCGGTTGAATCAAATTTGCTAGATAAATTGTTGACGTTTTTGAAAATGTCGGCTGCGATGGGTGACTGGTTGGCCACTTCGGCTGGCATGATTGGAGAACGACAGAACAGTTTACTGAGTGGAGTCATCTGGACATCGAGGCAGCTGCGAACACTGGTCGTGGCTTTCGGTATGTTGCTCTGATTTATCGATTCCTTTTCCATCTAAAATTGTATGGGGAGATGTCGATATTCGTCAATGAAGCAGGAGAACTCGCGAAGATGATGAACGAAATAGAGTATTTATCAAATAAAGGTACTCTACTGTAGTAGGGATCAAGTTAGATGAAACTTAACTTGTCATAAAGTACGGTATTCCACAAGGTTTTGCATCTTTAAAAGCCTACAACAGAACAACAGAGTTATGATTTGTTATTTCAGCACATGGGCCTGTTTGCTTGACACTTTTACTGTCTTTTTGACGCCAGAATAAAGGCCCGACAAGGGGACGTGTCTACAGCATGTCAACTAGTAATATTGGACGTATGACGTCACAATAAAATCCGCAAAATTGCGCTTTGATGCTTTTCGTAACCCACTTTATGTGGTTTAAAGCACGCACGGATTTTTCACCAAAAGCCGAACAGTTTTGATGGACGAGTATATTTTTTTGTATTAAACACAGAAAAACCAGTGCATCTATTTCTGCAGACTTTGCATTTCCTTGTCTCGACCTGACTACGAATTTTGAAGGATAACATGTCCGCATTTCTTAACTATATAAATGACAGTATTGGTTATTATTGTTCAGAAAAAATTTTCAGTGATAAATCACTTTAGGGCTGTGGGTAAATACCCAAAAGAGCTCGAGGTCGAGCCTCATGAGCAATCAAATCCGGCGTTAAGTTAGTTTGGCCGTCAACTGTTAAAAAGCCGAAAATGGACATCGCAGCCTCCGTTGTCTTTGTCCGCAATACTATTCTGCCTTTGTTACGGGTCCTGCTGTGTGGCTGCCTACTGGACTCCAGAAAGAGAGCCCCGCGGGCACAACGGAACAGGTGACTTCCGTAACACGATTGGTTCCCGTCCCTCTACCACTGTTACATTACATTGCATTTCAAAGGCCGTCTAATACGGCCTCAGGGGAGACCGTTAATACACTGAATCGTAGGCTTCTAACTAACGGGTCGCCAGTGCGAGACTCGGAGGTCGCATACATTGGGTGCTGGGTATGGCTGGTTGGTGACCGCTAACGGGCCAGTCTCTACGACTGCCTGCGGGCTCTGGATGGGATCCCGAAGCATAACGAGTGAGTAGGTCCCGTAATCCAATCGGTAAGCGTTGTCTGCCATATTATTTCCGTCCGATTGATCCAGTTTAGAGGTGCACATCTGAGGTGTTCGTTTCTCCCAGAGAATAACCCTCTTCATAACTCAAAGCAGTTAGATGTATGATGAGATGCAGGAATTTCCCTGCGTTTCATGCTAGTGCATGGAGAACTGTCTAGAAGTCAACATAAATAGGCAGATATTTAAAAATCAAATCGGCCGCAAACGAAAAAAGCGCTGATATTCGAACGTTCACTAAAACAAACGCCATTGTGAAGATTCATTAATTTCTCCTCTGTTGTCTTTACTCCAAATTTTCGAACTGTCAGATAGAGAAACACTGATATAATGGGCGCTGAATAGTCTGATCGTTTAAAGGAAACAAGAGTTACGCTTAATGCTATAATCAGTGTTGTTTCATCATCAGTTTTCTTTCTTTCTTGCAATTTAAAAGGAAATTCTCTTCATTTGGACTTCGAAACAGAAGCAAATAATTCTGTTTTCTAGTACACTAAGGAGAAGCGTTATGCACTTTTCACATACACGTGCAGTTCAGTGGGAAATATGCTTCACTTAACATTGTATCCGAAGGGCCTGAGAGGTCTTCTGTTTTCTACTCTTGGCGCTTAAAGCTCACACACATAAAACACTTGCCTGAATTCGAACAAATATTATCGTGGTGGTCACGAATATTGGTCACATGTGATTATGCAGCCGTACCTGAGATGAAAAAACCGCAGCTGCCTATGATACAGGACCGGTAGTAATAGGGGCTTTTGCAGGTGGGGCCGGGGACCGCACAGCGACGAGGTCAAGTAACTGTATGCAAAAGAAAGGCTATTGGGAGTGCGTTGTATTGCTTTCAATGGTTGAGAAATAGTTGCCTTAAACTTTAACTCTAACTCCTAACCCGAACCCCTAACTACAACACATAATCCTAACTCTAACCACTACCCCTAGACCCTAAATCCTTACCTTAGTCCCTAACCCTGACCTTTTACAGTAGTGTTCATCAGGAGCGGCTGCATAAGCACATCTTACCCAAATTTCTTAATATTTCCGTGGTTCATGCCTAAGGGCTGAAGTTTGTTTCCGAAACAACCAGGAGGTAGGGTGCTCACCAACTTTTGGAGTAAGATGATAACATACTAACAGCGCAGGTACTAGCCAAGAGCCCATACACGCGTGTTTCGCCGATATTTTTGCGCTGCATGACGCAGCTGCGAGGGGTTCGGCTCGTCAGTGGGTCCCCCCAGCATTCCCCGTGTGTTTTCTGGTAGATACTCCAATTTAGAAATTGTCGCTTTTTAATTTCCTCAGAAGTGTTCTACGAAGTTGAAATAGATCAGTTTATTCAAGATCTATAGGTACTCTTCCTCCGAGCCGAACATTTTGAAAAAGCGTAATTCGTTACCAAATGAGGACAAGAAAGCACGCGTGTGCATGTTTTTCATATAATATATTTGGATTCATAGGAACATCGAAGATCAGCGTAAAAAATACATTCTACTCAAATAGCAATTGTTACCCCTTATGGTTTTTACATAAGGTCGGAAATAAACCCATTCAAAAGCCATCATCCTGATGAACCCGAAATATCGTTGGGTTAGGCCACATAATAATCAGTATTCTTTAAGGTAAGGTGATGCCATACTAACAACACAGGTACTAGCCAAAAGCCCATACACGCGTGTTTCGCCGATATTCTGCCGCTACATGACGCAGGTGCGAGGGGTTCGGCTCATCAGTGCGCCCAAATATTCATGTATAAATTTCTAGGTCTGAGCCTATAGACATTGAATAAACTGAACTGCTCCAACTTCGTAGATAATTTCTCAGGAAATTAAGAAACTAACGGTTGATCATCTGAATCTATATTTCTATGTTCTCTGAACGTCCTATTGATAACAACAAAGAAACTGGAAATGTTATTTCTAGTCCTGCGGAGTTTAGAGGCAGTATCTGTGAATTGCCGTTTTTACATTTCCTCAGAAATTATCTACGAACATGGAGAAGATAGGTTTATTCAAGGTCAATAGGCTCGGACCTAGAACTTTATGTACAAATATTTGGGCGAAAGTCCATAATCCACAGAGGGTAACCGCGTAGCATACTTTAAGATAAGGTGATACCATACTAACTGTACAGGTTCTAGCCAAAGGCACATACAAGCGTGTTTTGCCGATATTCTGCCGCTGCATGACGCAGTTGCGAGGTGTTCGGCTCATCAGTGGGTCCC